TCTGCTTGATACAGAACATCAACCAGTTTAGAGGGCTCCAGGGTTTCCTGGGGTGGCCAAAAGAACCATCTCACAGCCCAGACGTGCAGTGCCTCGCCCCAAGCAGCCAGTGGCAGTGCCAGCAGCACGCTGCAGACAGGGCAGCAGCCCTGCCGTGTCCCCACCTATGGCCACCCTTTGTCAGGGGGGCTGCAGAACCAGGACCGACGTGGTAAAACAACAATGAGCAGTAAAATGATGACAGGCTCTGTGTTTGAAAGCAGGGCAAACCAGCCAGCAGGAAAAAGACCCCTCTGAATAACGCTTCAGACAGTGCATCGTGCAGAGACATTTACTCTCCTTTGCTATGAATACCAGAGAAGCAACACTGAGCTGCAACACCAGCGCTGAGCGAGCCTTTGCATCCCCACAGCTGCACCGCGCTTGCCCACGCTGCAGAGACAAGGTGATCACAGGACACGTGATGGCACAGCAACTAACCTTGTATTTCTAAGCAGAAACACATCACATAACAGTCCAAGAGTTACACAGGAGCTTAATGGCTACAAAGAAAAATCATGCTGCTATAATAAAAATAGTACAGAAAAGGGAAACTCCCTATGGGTGGTTCCCAGCCTAAGGCTGAAGGAAATCTTCGCATCTTCTCTTACAGTAACAATACAGAGGAACTACAGCTGTGGTTGTAGTTGCAGAATGCTGGTACTGCCCCTAAAAACGGTGTTATCGTTCCAGAACAAGACACAGAGGGGTAAAATATGACTGGGCCAAAGGAATCCTGGTGGAAAGGACTGCTACCTTACCCAGAAGGCAAAGCAGGACAGAAAAAGCTGGGAACAAAGACTAACCAGCTCTAAGATCCCTGTTTGACCAGACAGAAAGCTAAGCACCACTATCTGGCTACAGAAAGGTAAAAGCACAGGGTAAGATGTGGAAAATTGAGCTGCAACCACAAAAAGAACGGGAAGATGTTGAGGGAAGAATGCACTGATTTTAGGGAATAACAGCAAGAGCTGCACCTTCCAGAGCAGAGCTCTAACTATGAGCCAGTGACTTATGCCAAGTCCAACGGGACCACAGGAGTGGGGGTGTTGGAAAGTGATAATGGCACAATGTGACAGGAAGGCATGGCTTGGATGTGCAGGGGTTCTCAGGAAGGTGAGGAGGGAGCCCCTGGCAACTGTGACATGGGGAGAAAAAGGGGAGATGCAGCCTCATGGTGTGGGAAGAGACAGGATGTCGTTAAGAGTTCATACCATGGTGCAGCACTAGGGAGCCCAAATCTGACTTCTACGACTCCAAGAAAATATTACAGGAGAAGAGAGTAAGGAAGGAAAGAGGTAAGGCAGCGTCCTGCTGAGCCTGGGCACACTGATCACTGTCAGAATAGAAAAGCTCCCGGGCAGGTCTGAACCTGGGCACTGGGAAGAGGGTGGCCTAAGCTGGGCTACTGGGCAGGGGAACTGGGGAGGCTCAGAGAGGCACTTTGGGGATGGCAACCAGCCAGGTGGTCCGGGGCAATTGCAGGAGCCCCTGAGGGCAGTCTGGGGGCACTGGCAGATGCTGAAGGGCATTTAGGGGGCAGCTGTTAACGAGCACCTGAGAAAGAGTTCATTATGAAGATCCCTACGAGGCATTTTGGGGTTCACAAGTCCATGGAAAGCATGGGGGCTGTTTTCAAGGGGTCTCTGAGGTGTGGGTTGGGGGTCGCCGGCAGGTCCCTGAGGGGTGGCTGGGGGTGTCACCGGAAACATGGGGATAAATAAAACCCTTTAACACAACCCCTTCACAATTAAAGACCTTCCCAGCAACGGGTGAGGGGGGAATGGCCGAGCCCCTGAGGGGCGGTTTGGGGGAATGTGAGGCGGTCGCTGGCAGGTCCCCGAGGGGCGGTTTGGGGGAGTCAGCGACAGATCCCTGAGGGGCGGTTTAAGGGGTGTGAGGTGGCCACCGGCAAGTCCCTGAGGGGTCGCTGTGGGAGGAGAGGAGCGGGGTGTGGGGGGGATCGGCGGCAGCTCCCTGAGGGACGGGCTCAAGGGGTTCCGTCGCGGACCGCAGGGGGAGGTTTGGGGGACGTCTCTGGCGACTCCCAGAGCGGCGGCCCGGGATGGCGGCAGCGCGGACAGTGCCGGGAGGGAGGGGGAGTCGGCGGCGGCACCGAGCGAGACGCGGAGGCAGCACCGGCCGCAGCGTTGCCGGGAGCCCGAGGCCCTGCCCGCGGCCCCCACCCGCCGCACGCACCTTCTGGCGGATCTGCCCGGACGTCGAGACTTTGCGGATGAGCTTCTGCGGGGAGCCGGGCTCCTGCTCCGGCTCGCTGTCCGACGACTCCTCGGGCGCGGCGCTGGCGGCGGCGCCCGTCCCGGGCTGGGGCTGCGCAGCCCCGGCCCCCGCCGCCGCCATGCTGCAGGACCGGCGGCGCGACCCGCGCCCCCCCC